TCTCATTTAATATTAATGGAGCTATAAAACCATGAAAAAAATTAAAGCATAGCCTTGATGAACCTTGCAAACCTGAATGGTTCTATTTTACATGCAGAAAGATGAGATAAGATTTTTATATGTCGTATATATTTATATTTCAGGCTTTAAGTATTTGCATACCTCAATAACCATTCTAAAAATAAAATTACTGCGTACAAACATTTCATAATAATTTAGGTCCAGACAGGAAAAAAAGTAAACTGTTGTTATAGTTGGTGTCTTGCCATGGTATTATTCTTTTGCTTCTACAATCTCTTTTGGAAAGTTTATTTAGTCTGTTCTTGAAATACTGCAATCTGTCAATCTAAACTTGAAATTTGATGTTAACATTGAAGAATTATATTTTAGTAACATCAAACTCATGAATAACTCAAAAAGAATTCAAACTTGAGGCTGAAACTCCATGTTTGACTTTTCCCTTGTGCTAGTTACTGCTGCACATACCCTCTAGCATGTAATGCTACACGTATCTATACATTAGGGCTGTGCAAAATTTCGATGGGTGTTTCGTTTCAAACCTGCTTTGACATGTTTCAAGCTCGAAACAGTGAAATCGAAAAGAAATAAAAGGCTTCAAAACAGCTTTGAAATTAAACGATGGCACTTGAAACATTTCGAAAGTTTTGAAACGTTTCAAGTTTTGAAGCCGGGTTTGCTTGCAGCTAAAGAGAAACTAAGGAGAGGGAGTGGGGATGGAGGGAAGGACTGCTCTGATATTGATATCTAGCTCCCAGTTTGATTTCCCAGCTCTCTGATTGCTTCCCCCAGCTCTTCCTGGGAGGCGCGGGGTTTCAGCAGGCTGCTGCTGCAGGCTGGGGACAGCGGCAACTGCTCGGCACAATCCATGCTGAGCACCGGGAAGACTGCGGTGCTGCAGTTGGCCCCAGCCCACAGCAGCAGCCTGCTGTAATGCAGCACTCGGATCTGGGGGCCCACACCCCCCGGGAAGAGCTGGGGGATGATCAAACCGGGAAGAGCTGGGGAATCAAACCGGGGGCTGGGGAATTGAACCAGGAGCTGGGGGAATGTTCAGGTCCCTGAACATTCCCTTAGTTCCCAGTTCAATTTCTCAGCTCCCCAATCTTTGCCCCAGGTCTCTGATCACTACCCCCAGCTCTTCTTGGGGGGCGCAGGCTCCTGGATGATGCAGGATGATAGCAGGCTGCTGCTACCAGCTGGGGATGGCTGCGGCTCTGGGCTATTTCCCCTGCCGGCAGCAGCAGCCTGCTGAAACCCTGTGTGCAGATCCAGGAATCGCCCCCCCCCGGGAAGAGCTGGGAGAATGATCAGAGTGCTGGGGAATCAAACTGAGAGCTCTGGCTGACAGGTAGATCTGCCCCAGCTCTGGGACAGCGCAGGGTGCCCTGCCATGGTGCAGCTGCCACGTGGGTACCAGGCAGGAGGAGGGGGGGGTGATATCCATTGCCCCGCTGCACAGCGGGGCTCTGGCATGAGTGCCCAGAGGTCCCAATCTCCACTGCCAGAGCTGGTGAGTGCGGGCCTTTTTTTTTTTAAAGCTCCACACACCTGCTGCAGAGCATGCAGATGACAGCAGGCTGCTGCTGCCGGCTGGGCCAGTGCCAGTACCCAAGTCTGCCTGGCACAGCCCACACTGAGTGCTGGGAAGAGCCCAGTGCTGGCCCTGGTCCCAGCTAGCAGTGGCAGCCTGTTGTCATCCCACACACAGATCCAAGGGCCTGTGCCCCCCAGGAGGGCTGCAGGGGTGTGCCAGATTCCACCTGGGGCATGCGGGCCCCGGATCTGCATGTGGGATGACAGCAGGCTGCTGCTGCCGGCAAGTGATACTAGTTTTGCTTTGAACAGTTTGAGATGCAGTTTCACAAAAACTCCTGTACTTATCTCTTTGAGACTTCATGTCCTCAGAAGGGCTACCATCCTTGCAATTTTCATCCAAATCAGGCACAAAATAACAAAGGTATAGGCATTTTCATGATTCCCCATTATACCCTATGGGCGAAATGTCGAAACGTGTCAAAACAGTGTCGAAACAGTTTCGACGAAACCAAACAGAACAGTGCTTTGAAACAGCGAAACGGCAGTGCTTTTTCGCCCGGCCCAGATACACATATATACAGCTCTTGCTCCCTGAACTGAGACTTCTGTAACACACACCAAGCAGAAAAGTCTGCTCTAATTTTTGTTGTCCTGACTCGTGCCCTGATTCAGGAAAGCACATCAAGCACATCTTTTCAGTACTCTCCCCAACAGATGCTTTCCTGAACTGAAGCTGTAAGCAAACCGAGTAAGGGATCTGGGAGAATCCTGCCTAGGTAGAACACGGCAACAGGTACAATTTCACTGATGTTGCTCAAAGCAAGTTATTTGTTGTTACTTCCATTGCTTTCTACACGTGTTTTTAAAAATAGGAAAATATCCCAAGTTGAAAACCATCGGGCCTCTATGGAAATGTATTCACTAGGACGCCCTGGCTCTGACATATCGCTAAACATTTGAACATTACGGAGGTGCACATCAAAGGGAACAAAGTTGTTCAGAATCTGCAACAGCTGCTGTTCCAGCTAAAATGAACTGGCTCATTTTTGTAACCAAAATTCCCACAACCCACTAACCTACATCAGTTCAGTATAAAAATAAAGTCATATCTTTCTTCTCGGGTCCCCATAAACCAATCGCCTCCTCAAAGATCCTGCTAATTCGTTTCCAGGGGCAGCCCCTGGATATCAGTGTCTTCCCGGCACAGTGCTGTATACACACCTGAAGGCAGGCGTGCATAATGTACAGGCTGTAAGGGTCTGTACAATGCGTGTTGAGAGACGGGGGCAAAAGCGTCCTCTCCTTGCTTGTGAGCTGTTCCAGAGGTGAGTAGTCCCAGTGAAGTCAGTGGGGGTACTTGGGGAGCAAGGAAAGGAGAATTTGGCTGTCAGTCAAATACTGTAGAATAAAAGACCACAACTTTCCTAATGGGATTTGGAGAGGGGTACATGAGTTTCATTAACTGAGTGTGTCAGCACACGTTTTTGTAATAGTAACTTTCTGAAGGTGCTTCTTCCTCCTCCTAAAAAAAAATAAATGATACCACAAAGGTAACTGTATAGCCAGAAAAACCATTACCTGTTGAAGCTAAAGGTGCATTGAGTATGTGATAGCCATTCTGCCTCAGAGGATTAAAGCAATGGGATTCCCCCGTCAGCACTTCGCTGGTGACAGACTGCTCCATTGTTCTGTAGCAGTCTCCGTAGTGGAAACAGTTTTGTATTGAGTGAAAGCTGCCTTGGTAACCTGAAAACAGATATTGCATACTCATTTTAACACTGCTGCTGCGGTATTAGCTCCATTTCTGTCACCGGATTTCATTACCGCAGTGGGTTTTTTACAGTCGAACTACGGAAAAATGATCATCCTCTTCTATATGGCACAATGCATATAAACCCGATATAGGGCTTGAGCCTACAAACTGCTGAGTATCATGGCCCCGATCCAGGAAAACACTTAAGCATGTGCTTAACTCTAAGCAAGTGAATGAGTGGCCCGACAGAAGTTAACGGGTTACTCGTGTTTAAAGTTAAGCATGTTATTAAGTACTTTTCTGGGTCAGATCCAGGAGGGATTGAGCCACCGATAAATTACTGTTCATTTCAATGGAATTAAATAATGCAATATTTTAATGACACACCCAACTTGATTTGTAATGGAAGAAAGCCCTCTTAGCTTCCAGCATGAATTACCGTATTTGCTCAAATATAAGATGACCCTGAATATAAGAAGATCCCCCCCCACCAGCAATTAGATTTTATATATGGAAAGTTTATAAATGTGTTATAATTTTCCAAGTATATAATCTAAGTATTGGAGGGTCGCATTGAATTCCCTCCCCTACACTGCTAGAGCAGGAAAAATAGTGGCGGGGGGGGGGTGGGGGGGTCAGGTATCCTCCTTACCTTCTCCCCTACACACTTCTTCCCCCTGCCCACCTGCTACCACTAGCTCCCCACAGCCTCTGCCCTCTCCCTGTCTCCCCCCAGTCTCTGCCTCTTCACCCCACCCCAGCCTTGCTGTCGGATGCTGCTTAGGCTGCTCCATCCCAGAGCCTGGAGCACAGCACTTGGACGCGCAATCCTTGCCTGACTGGCTGGGCAAGGGAAGACATTTCCATGTGCTCTGTGCCCAGGAGAGACTCCAGCCAGAGTCAAGCTGCGGCTGACAGTAAGAGGGTGGGTGAGGGCTTGGGGACCAGGGGGCTACAATGGGTCTGACTCTGGTCTCAGTCCAGGCTCAGGGCCAGAGTTGGAGCTGCAGCAGCAGCCGCTGCCTGCTCCCCACTCTGCTTTGTATGCAAATATAAGACGAGGGGCTTCCCCCTCACCCCAACGCTGGCTGGGGGGAAAAGCCTCATCTTATATTTGAGTAAACATGATATTTATTGCAGGAGATAACTCCATATTTGCTAAATACTTTTTCGGAAGGCCTTAAACCTCTCTGTTGTCCAAGTGCTCTCTTGTTTCAAATGCAAGCACGTCATTACCCACCGTGGACTATAGCCTGCACGTAGGCTTTGCCCCAGAGGTGGTAGCCTGAGTTCAGACTGATTAAAGTTATTTATACCTGGGGGGGGCATTCAGTTTTCAGCTGGAGTGCCTCTGAATTCCCACCACTGGAAAGGGGTGTTCTGCTGCCCTGATCATGTATCTTCCAGGGCAGCAAGAGCCCCGTCTTAGGCAGTGTCTGATTTTAGGCATGTCTACCCTGATATTTATAGTTGACTTTAAAGCCCAGCCCAAATTATACAAGCTATATTTCCCCATCCCCATCAGTACCAAGTAGCCCACACTTAAGGTGTCCTGTTGCGCCAATCATTTCTTATTAAAATCATCTGGAGCAATTAGCAACACAATTTATTAAAAATAGACTCATTCCCTCCCCCCGAGAGCCTTACTGTGCAAGGTCAGGGCATCCCTTACACCAATCCCTTGCATCAGCTCGTTAGGTAGGGTTGCTTATTCTTTTTTCTGAATTCTTACATAATCTAACAGCCAGTCTAAACTGGCCTTCAGGTCTGTTCTCAAAGGTACCTGAAACAAACCAAGTCAGACGTGTGTTTTAGCAAAAGGTGTCTCAGGATTTGTTCCTGCATTTCCCAGGACTAGGACAGTGCTTCCTTGCTTCCATTTTTTCCCCAAACCATTCTCAGTTGGGCAGGAAGCCGGGTGACCTTTGTCTAATTTCATCAAGTAGAAGTGTGAGCCCAGATCTTCAGCTCCTACCAATCAGTGCTGTGCCAAAGTCTAAGTGAAGATGTGGCCTGCTGGGTCAACTGTGGAGTTAATTGAATCTATTTATCGAGAAATGCAATACCTGATCCTATCATCCAGGTGCACGGGCACTTCAGCCGAGTAAAATCAATCAGTTACAAGTGAATGGAACGTAACAGGCTGCTTCCTGATAACAAACTCCCTCCTTTCCCTTTTATGACGAAAAATTGGTGAGACAGACAATACCAGGCCATACTCAGGCTCTGACTTAATTCTGGTAGCACCACTGCAGGCTGTTATAAGTCAGGCTAACTGGCGGAGTACTTTAATAGAGCTGCAATGAACCTAATCAGTGAAGAAAGATTTGTTTTGAAGTCAGACAATTTTTACATGGACTTTTTTTCTTTTTTGGCTGAACTTGACAGATTATTTCTTGAAAACCTGTGATGCTTCATCACAAGAACCAAAGTCTTTGATATCCAGGACTGGTGAAATGAATTCCTGAAAGAGGAATATACTAGAGAAAGACACCAACCGCAGTGTGCCAAAGCTGCTAGTATTTGCAGCCACAGACAAGAGGGCCTAGAAATTTAGAAGGCTGAATATTAAATGATGTATGCCCTGCCTTGGCACAAGTAAACAGCCGCATCTATTTAATGCAGGGAGAGTCTGGCTCAGAAAATCAAAGAGCTCTTATGAGAGGCGGCTGACCATCTTTTCATGAGGCTTCAGGGACAGTGGCTTATTTAGTGGATGTTGATAATTATCCTGATTTTTATATTGACAAAATATGAAATCCTCTCAGTATGCCTTTTGAAATCACTGTATCCTTTGGGGATGAGCAATAAAAAAAAAAGACACTTGGCTTCAAACGTTCACTAGCTCCAGAGCATTTTATGTGCCTTTCTAAAGAAGCAGCTGAACATTTTCCAGACTGTCTGCTATACAAATAATTTCTAGGGAAGATACAACGTGTATCTGCACTGTCCCTATGATCATTATCTCTCTTGCCATGTTTAGCAAACCCACTTTAGTTAAGTCACTTAATCATCTTCTTTACTGGACCTTCTCAAGGGCAAAGTCCAGTAAAGCAGGGAGTAGTCCAGCTTGCGAAATCAAGAAGAAAACTCATTTCTGACAAGATCTGGGATAATAGTGGTGAATCCAGCCCCTCCAAGACTTATGGATAAAGAACCTTTTAAACTATTTTAGATTGTAGTCTACAGTTGCCTAGGGAGAACTAGGCAGACGAAGGAGGCAGAGGAGCACATCAATACTAGACGTCCTTCCAAAATAGCTATCAAAAGCAGTCCAGATATATTCTGGAGTGGGCCGGCAGTTCAGCAGCATTACAGCAGAACAGCCTGATAAAGAGTAATGACTGCAGCTTGATAGTCTTGAAGAAGGAATGTCATGACATATGTCAGAAGAAAATATTAGTGCTAGTTCATGAATGGCCTCACAGGGTGCACCCCCATGAGTGGGAACGTGTTTCCCTGGACTCGTGCTCTGATGTGCTGCATGTTGCCCTGGGTGGGGTAGCAGAGGCTGGGGCCAGCACCTGGGCTGGCCTCAGCAGCCTTACCTGGGGGCCATCTGGGACTGCAGCAGGGAGCCTGGGCAGCAGCTGGAACATGGTTCTGGCCGGCCAGACTCCAGTTTCAGGCAGTGTGCACTGCTACCATGTGTGCTACCCTGCTTTATTTAGGCACGGGTTTTTTTGACACCAGGGTCTCCCAGAGTTAAAAAACGTCCCTATGCTGCAAATTAGCAATGTGGGGGATGCCTGCCTGTGCAGTGCAGTGGTGTGCGGTGCTGCAGACTGGTCTGTGATGCCGCATGCCACAAGCTCCCACTTGTCTGGACGCAACTACAGGGTCCAAATTTTTTGCAAGGCACTTCACAAAGATGAAGGAAGTGTCCTGATGCACATGAAGGTCTCATAAATGGGAGTCACTAATGCAGAAAGTGGGGTGAAATAAGGCAGGATGGAAAATATGGAATTACTCTGCATGCACATCTTAGTGACAGTAGTAGGAGTTTTCATCTCTTAGTGTGAGCCGTGTTGGTGCATTATGGAAGAGATGAATGTTGCAGAGCAACTGAAATATGGAATGGGATAGTGGCTTGGAGGACCAGGAAGGAAGGCATCCAGGTAGAAAATGTCCCCTGGGAACAGGCGAGGTGATGGTTATGGGCAAAATGGACAAACGCAGCATCAAAGCTGGACATCTGCTTCCCGGAGGGTGGAAAGGGGCAAAGTCCTAAGATCATTTTTTCACTAAAGATAAGGCCTTGGCTGTCACCAACAGGGAGACTCGAGTTAGTTCTTCTGTCCAGCTGATTAAGCAGCTCTCCTTGCTACCTCCTATATAAGCTGACTACATTTCTTTGGTCACTTTGTTAGCGCTACCTTTCAACAAACAATTTCATTACTCATTTATATGTTTAGAATATGAATCATCATTTTTGGAATAACCTCACAAGTGATTATTTATGTGGAGATTTTACTAGGAACGACATGACAAGTCAGAAGTTCATTCAACAGGACTTTGTGCTAGCTTCTGAAAATAGTAAATAACTGCAGCCGTAGCTAGCGAGCTCGATTTGCAGTTGCACCATTAAAAGTTTACGAAAAAGTCACTGGACTTTTTCGTAAAAAAGAGCACTGGACACTGCTCATTTGCATGAGCAAATGCTGGGGGAAGCAAAATTGTATCTGCAATTGTAGCAGCTGTGTTTAAGAACGTGGCCAATTCCATTTCTTTAGTTGCCTGATATGAAACTGAAGTTTTGTAAAGTACTAAATAGTGAAAAAAAGAAAAAAATTGCTAGTAGGATAGCAAAGTGCATAGAGCGGTGAGATTTTGAGTGGCTTCTCTTATACTTTAGATCAGTGTTTCCCATACAGGAAGACTCAAAATGGAGGGCTAAGTCATTTTTACTTTCCAGGCAAGCTCAACCAGGCCATCAGCAGTGACTTCCTTAGGACACATGGGGCACGTCCACACATGCAGGCACGTGCACTTG